TCTCTCATTCAATAGATATTACATTCCAATCATTCCATACATATCTTCATATGGAAATAGTATGTTTAAGTAGGCAAGTTTGGTATCATTCGGAATGTTCATGAGTGTTCGTTACAACATACATGTACCTCGACACATGTGCGTTTTGAGTTTTAAATATTCAGGTTAATATTCTTTATCGTTCTGAGAATCTGTTGTGGTACATCAGGTACTGTTTGTTCCGTGGTGTGTCATACTTCACACTCCAGTACTGTACCGATTTGAAGGATTGTTTCAGTCCACCCGCCTTTCCATCTGTGTGCTCGCTAAAAATTACTGTAGGTTTTAAATAACGGCATCGTGTGACTTAATGTCATTTTCGAAAACAGCAATTCTCTAAACTACCATGTTTACATAATTGCTGGACGGTTTCCATTGAGAAATTAAGTAGACGGCGCGTCTACTTATTTGCTTCTTAGAGCGATTAGAAATTGATTTTCATTGGTTTATGCATGGAATTATAATTTTCGAATGTAATATCATCACAATTCAAATACACTGAATGTTTTCTATTACGATTGTATGGATGACAATTGTATTCAAAACGCGTTTCAGTGATCTACATTGAGTTACAATCGTCTATTTGTTTATGCAAGCAGACTATGGCGCCAAGCTAGTATAACATAAATACTAAACGTCTTTTTACAATATGCCTGCCTCGTGTATAGTTGCTATAGAGTTTTTTCATGTGATTAATCTTAATTACCCAATTTCAATATTTATTTTCTTTGTTTGATATTCAAAGCATGTAATACGGTATCAATGGCATACATAGACAGACTTGACTTAGCAGTCGTACAAGTTTGCTAAATGCTACGTTCCGACCTTTGGAACATGTCTTTGTCTTAAAGTAAAATTAGTTCTTTTGTATATCTTTGTGATGCATGAACTTTCTATGATTGTAAAGTAATCTAGAGCTCTGGACATGTGGCTATGGCGTGAGAAAATATCAAATTGTTCTGGATCATCAGAAGCGTATTCTCAAGATAGTTGGCACGTTCGTCTAAGTATCGTGTAAACGTGTCTTAATATGCAATTTTAATCAAAGTGGAGCACCGTTCGCGTGAAGCTGTCGCGACGGTGAGCAGCGAGCGATGCAAGAGGCTGGTGCTAGCCTCCCATGCGGAGCCCCGCTGTCTGGCAGCCACGCGCCCCCCCTGCCCCGCCCCCCTCGCCACATCTCCCCCGCTCGCTGCGATACCTAGCGCAACCACCTCGTATTGCTAATTCATCTACCACCTTATATTCGCTAGGTACAGTAAAGACTCGTCGACAATTCTCTCATTGCCACTTCCCAAGGTTGACTAGATACATCATATATTATTTGAAATCAGAATATTTCACGTATTATCTACAGCTTAACCTACTTGCTTACTTCTTTCAAGGGCACGAATGATTTTGTTATCCGAAAGCTTTTACGAGGTACTTATCTAGCTATTTAAATGAATTCCTCTGTCCTAAATGCTTTATGTCTATGTTCTTCAAACTAGAAGACATGTATCACTGCATACCTAATCCATGATTTATAAGAAATAGGTACCAATGTTCTAAAGTACACTTTACAAATCGATAGGATTAGCAGCTTGATAAACTATTGTACAATAAGAACCCAATGTACGGGATCTTATTAATAACGTGAGAATTTCATGCATAAATTGGACAAAATTAGGACGTGTGAGACACTGTATTGACTTCTCACGTTAATCCTATAAGTAGTGACACACAGTATCACATAGTTACCTCCGCGTTAGATGATTACTGAGTCCGCCAGATGTTTCAGTTTCACATTTAAACAACATTATGTAATTATCATTATACGGTCTAGCTAATTGGTATCTTAATAGCTATTACCTAATGTTATATTTACCTACATGTTCAACGACTAGTTTTATTTTGTTGAGAAAATACTTTTTGGTCGATTGAACATATTATTGGAGGCTCTAATTGAACAAGTGCGGTGATGGTGGTGCGACCTCGGCCCAGTGCGTAGGTCCGATTGCGACAATGCTTGACACAAGTTGTGTAAGTGGCCGATGGAAATTCCGGTGTCGCCGTAACAGCGGCAAGTGTGCGGGCTAGAGTCCTGTGCGTGCGCAGCGCTTGCCGAAGCCACGGTATGAATGGAGCTCCGGTATGTAGGTCACGGTGTCGTCAATGGGCCGTCGGCAGGGCCCCGCGCAGCCGCCTCATGCGCCCCCATCGTGCCGTGAAAGTTGCCACTACTTTCGCGACTGTCGCTCTTACCATCATCACAATTTGCACTCTAGTGCAACACAACTGAGTCACTTTTAGAGCGACGTCTGCTAACGTTCACATCCGCTTCGACGTTTCGTGCGTGCCTCGAAGACTTTCTGCTTCGGCTCGTTGTGAGAACTCTATGATTGGTATAATAAAGTCTAGTTTGGCTTGTGTCACTGAAAATTCGGCCGCGCCGTATGCTCGTGCTTAGGAATTCACTTCCGGGTAGGTCGGAAAGTGAAATGGACCCGTCTGTGATGTAATTGGAATTCGGATGTATCCGGAGTCAGCGTTACTCCATTCACTTATAAAATTCTATAGGTATTGGTTGACATAATAGTCCGCGCACCGCAACCGTTTCCGTGACACAGTAAACAGTTGAAGCGATGAAGCGTAAGATGACTTTTTTCTGCCGCCACTGCATAAGTTATAAGTTTTATTTTACATACCTCTCTGAATGACTTACAGTCGAGCGCAACAGCCAAGCGACGGTACAAAGCCAATTTGAATTTACAATTATCTACTACCAGTTAGTCGCTGGTAAATCATAAATGAAGCCACCTAGTCGTAGCGTAAATCATTAAACATATATATTTTAGTTGAGAATGACTATTAAATATTTCTATGTAGACCACAAACGTCGATGACTGCCGGCTCGAAAACAATGTGAAGTGCCATATTTGTAACAGACAATATTTTTTTATAAATCTCATTTAACTTACGAGATACGCGTGCAGTAAGTATCTGTCACTTTTAAAGTAAAACACATAGTACATTAATCAATAATAATCAATTATCAATTATATTCCTTTATTCTACAATTAGGACATATTGGATTTCAGTAACGCTTTTGGTGCGTGCTTTACTTTTAAGTTACATAATTATATCTACAAAATAACCATTTTGTCCTGCTGCCAACCAATGAAAATAAATATGATGCTAAAACAATTTCTACGTAAAGTAACTACTTACGGACACAATTAATAATGCAGTAGAGGAATATTGTTAGGTTATGAAAATCTTCGAAAAGTAAAATTTGCAGAATAAGATGACTTCTTAGCTATAGAATAGTCTTAATAGACTATACATACTCCATTTATAAACGAAATATCTTGGATTATTATCCCGCAACTAAACAAATAGATCTCCTGACATTTTGACAAATAATACGGCATCTGTTATTGTACATCCCCCAGTTTGTGATTCTGTATATTTCTATTTCAAAACCCGACCTCTTCCGTCTGGAAAGTCATCGTCCTTTCTTCTAAAATCTAAATTCTACTCGATACTTGCAAATTATTTCTCATAATCCTCAACTTAAGAGCTTAACTCAATCCGAAAGACGTTCAACGCTAAACAAGACTTACTGGCTTCTTATTACTTTGACATCATTGTGTTTGGAACAGTTTGCAGCAATATCTTTAATACTTTGTGGTAAAGTACAGCTTTCCTTGTTGGTACGAATGGAGGTTTAAACTCAATCGATGAGCGATGTACCGTGTGCGGTGTGTCGCACGCGCACGACGCAGCTTTCACCGAGCTCAAAGGCTCGCGCCGCCATGCATGTTTATTAACTTAACCATTTTAACAGGAATTCCCGAGGCTTCCGTTTACGTCGCTATTAGTACTTTTAGCTGTCATGGTACTTCAATGTGTCCCGTTAAAGTCATATTACTTAAGTGTCCACTTTTGATGCCTTCTCTTTCTTGCACGAATTCTCTTAAAGTGTTTATGCTTATCTCAATTAAAAAGAATACAAAGACTCAAGAAATGAAATGAATCATCCAAAGTACAATACCAAGTATGAAGTACAATGTTATGTGCAAATGTCTGTTTATGATTGATTGACACCATATCCTGACTGAAGCTCCCCCTGAAATTATTACTCAGAAAACAGTTTTCCTTATGCATTCGTAGAAGGCAGTCTGAAATACTGTAAAGCAGTTACGTTAGCGACTACAAAGGAGTCTTTGATTGGTACTCCGACATAGTTAACGGTCGCTATAAGTAAGTCGATCGAAATCAGCGAATAGTGTATTATTACGTCATTACGTAATACATGACGAGAGGTAAGTTTTAGCTGCATCGCCGGAACAGTTGAGTTTAACGGTGACCGAGGCTGTGGAGTACTGTTAGTCGCATTCCTAGAGCGGTTCGCGGCCAGGGTGGTAGGTGCAGGGGGGACGCGGCGCCGAGGAATGTGCCAGTGTCAGCACATATCCGCTATTGCTTCTATTTGTTACGATATACATGCTTAATGTTAACGTCGTACACATTCTAAATTCCTATGATTATGATCTTGTTTTGTATTCTTGCTCTGCATAGGTACATCATATTAAGTATTCGATGTTTTATGCAATTTCTTTCTGGAATAGCATGGGTGTAATTGACTATAGTCATTGAATTCAATGAATTCTATTGAAAAATCCTTTGATTTTAAGGCGATTGGTTTCTAGATAGGTACTATTAATCTTTATTCTAAATCAAAATATTTTGAGTGTATAAATCTAAGCAAAAACAAGAAAATTGTCACATTAGTACAAGGTCAATGATTTATTCTATTTTTTTTTCATAATTATCGTCGATTTCTCTCTTAACTTCAGACTCAGACTTTTTCATTCTGTTTTCTTTTTCAGTTTAAGCCATATCAGAATGGGAGTAAACTTTTATAAATCTCAAATTCATTCTGGTATTTACTTGATCTCCTTTTTGTTTGTCTACAGAAATCTGGCGCTGGGTATCGGCATCCAGAACTTCCCTGAAGGTCTGGCTGTCAGCTTACCACTGCAAGCCGCTGGCTTCTCCGTGTGGAGGGCATTCTGGTAAGGAAACCTAAACATAATTCTGCCGTACTATGTATCTATACAGGTAATACAGGTCAATGCCCTCATCCCTTAAAAGAAAAGTTAAACATAGCTATTAGGTGTGCGACGTACAGCGAATACGGCATTTGAACAAAGAGAATACTTTCAAATTGTCTAGACGCGATTTGCATATTTATGTTAATGCAAAAACATTTCAGTTTTACAAAGCGGACATAATTCTGATAACGCTTTCTTATTCACTGTCATGTTCATAGCTACTTCGTATTGTTATAAATGTCTTTGAAAAGATCACTTGGCAAATTGTGAGAGTAATAATATATCAATGTTTGACAACATTCCATATACTGGTTCGTGGAATAGGGTTCACATGGTGGCAGCAAGTTTGCCGGGCGGCAGTTAGAGCATGGCGCGCGGTTAGAGAATGCGCCCGCTCGTCGTTAGGCCGGATGCCAACGCAACCAGACTGGACGACCCCATTCCTGTTCAGGCTAATTCATTTAGCGACTGTTGCCGGCCCGACCAACTCGACTACACGCCGAGATTTGTGATGTTCCCTCCTTTAACTAGAAACGTGTATTACTTATGCAGATTCTTTCGACTTACACTGTTTTCTCTAAATCTCTGAAAGTCTACATGTCTTGCAAATACCAGGATCATGAGTCTACATAGTTACGTCTTCTGTTTGTACTAAAGAAGTATTGCCGAAAGAATGGTCCTAAACCTGAGCTTGTCATGAAACGAACACATACTAAATAAGTTTAAACTGTCAGAGCAAAAGGTTACTTAGGCATTGTGGTACGTGCACGCATTGTAAACGTTACCAAATAGGTAAAAGTTGTAAATAGTCGCATTCCGTCGTGTTCTCGGAACCGCTGCCCTGGCGCCGCTTCGCCGGTGCACAGCCCGCGACTAACGAGCTACGAAACACGGTAATGGATATGCCTTTGAAGAATGCTAACAAACTTTTATGAACTAACGCGGTACATAATCGTTATGCCTTCAAAGAATGCTAAATAACTTTTATTGAGGAACGCGGAAACTGATCCGCCGTATATCTTTAAAAAAGCTACATTAATTTTATGATGCTACTTTTTGAAACATACTTTCAATATAAGTTCAATGATTACGTACAGATTGAAAAAGTTTAACAAGCTGTTTGTGGACTAAACAGTTTACAACCGTTATGAAAAAGAAATTAAGAGTCTCTGAAATATTAACTCACGTGGATTGTGCAAGTAAAGTAACGTATCCAAAGTGAGAAGTATGCGGGGCTCCTGTATGGCTACTTCGTAGCTCCTTAGCTGGCAGTGGCGGTAAGAATGTGCTCGAGTGGGAATCCTGGCCGCGGAGTAGGCCGGGAATGTGCGCCGAGCGACGACCCCGGCCGGCCGCTCGTGCCGTGTACCCCAACCTTAAGACACGTTGCACGCGACCGCGGAAAATTAAACGATCATACGTTTTTACAACTAAGCATTTACCCGATGAAACGCAATTACATCGCAATTTATATCATTCTTGACCGCTAATTACACCCAACTAAGCCGAGCAGCTAAGCATAGCTCTTGTAAGGAGATGCTGTTCATTTCACCTGGCTTGCCTAAATAGGAATTATAAAGTGCAATTTCATAGCAGACCTATTAAGATCTTCAGTAATTGTTAGGATTCATTATATTTTTGTTACGATATATCTTAAATACAAATTAGGATAATGAAACAGTAATAGAACGAGTCACAAAATTAGAGAAAAAAAAGACCACGAAGAGGGGCCTTATTTGTCACGAAAACGATTTAATGTTCACTGAAAAACAAAATCGTTTTCATAAGATCACTGAAAGAACTTTTAGTACTTAGAACTTTTAGTAGATACTTCAACAATAATGCTAATTAGCGTAAAGTGGATGATTTGATATAACGCACAGTAAGAAACTCCAAAAAGACAACTCGTAAATAAAATTTCAGAGAAAAGCTCATGTTAAAATTAATGTGGGTACAGCAAACGTAAAGACATGTACGATAGTCTGCGGTGCGGAATTCAAGGGGCGAGGAATGTGGACTGAGCAAGAAGTGCTCTGGCCAACTCGCATGGCCCGATACGGGATCGCATTTGCCACCGTTTCGTATATGTTAGCCACCTTTCGAAATCGCTGTTGACATTTTCAACAATTTACATTGAACATTTCTAGTGGATCAATAAGATATGTGTTGTGAAATGTTCTATACACTTGTGATTGATTGACTAAATACTATAGATAACTAAATGGTTTTTATGCTAGGCCGTGAATGTTTCATCCCTTGGGGAACTGAAAACCCTAAACATTAGAGGTTTGTTCACATCCATTGAGTTATTTCAGGAGTTCAAATAGGTAGTATGTGTGATGCTTTATGCAAATTATCTGTTTATTATCTAAGAGACCAAAATTTTTGTTTAAGGCAGAATTAAGCTCTAGAAACTCAATTATATTCGATCAACAGAATGGGATTGCTGTTAAGACGTCATCGAGTTTGACAGCAGTTTTGTTAATGACATTGTCGTATGTCAAACAATACCGAAATAAAATTACTTGGTTCAAGTGGGTTTTTACAGCTGTCGTACATATTACAAATAAATTCTTGTCGTTTTGTCGAAGCTACTTGACGCAGTTTTTATGGCATGATATAATAAATCCAACCAGTGTAGTGATCCATTGTTGTAGACAATGCGTCTAGTCAACATTTCTCACCGCATGCGCATATGACTCACAGTGACGTAGCAAACCTCATGCTTACGCACCATGTAGGTGCCTCATCTGTTAGAAATACTAATCAATTAAATTACTTAATACATAGTTACATTTTCATATTAAGACTCATTTGTTAGAATTGAGAAATGGCGAATGACTTTGTTATTCTATCATCTTCATGTATGTATGCAATCGATATGAAATCGATTTACAAATATTCAAAATGGTTACACCGATTACATTGAGTTTTCGTAAGTGTAGTGGCGACGGCGCGGCCAGCGCGGTTGACGGCGGCCGGCCGTCGTCACCGGCTCGGGCCCGAGTCCGCGTGTCTGGAGGCCGCTCTCGACGCAAGCGTCGCTATTTGGTCAGATGGTCATTGCTAACTGGACCCGAGAAAGTCGTCTATTTCGAAATTTGAGTGTTGCGTGAGGTCGGTGTGCGATGTGTCGCTGCGGTGCCGCGGAGTCTGGTGCGGTGCGCGGCAAGCGGACGGCGGCGCGCTGTCTGCGCGTTCTTCCGGACCGCACCCGTTGGACCAGTCGCAGCGCACCGCCCGCTGCCCGCCTCGGGCGATCGGCCTTCACAGTTAAATAATTAAATCGAGAGAGCGACGCCGAGCGCAACCGCCGCCACCGCCGCCGTCGCCGCTGCCGGGCCCCGAAGAAGCTGTCGCGGAAGGCGCTGCCAGCCTTGGTGGCGCTGTTCTGCGCAATCGAGGCCGGTTTGTCGGCCGCATATTGCGTTGTTGCCGCGCCTAATCTTCTCGAACACCTTCCTGAATACGTCAGATACCACTGTTTTAACTTTAATGATGACATACACACACTATGACTAATATACTCTTCGGATGCTCGACAGCAATCTTCATAATTATGGTGACTGAATGTCGAATTTACAATCATCTGTACCTTACAGTTAACTAGCAGCAGCTACCCTCAACTATGCAGAAACACGCATCAACCATCAACTATTGACATCGGCTGTGCCTAGTCGGCGACACCAGTATGAAAGTTACAAAGTCTTGATAGATATAATTCTGGCAGATCTCTAAACCACCCAGACATGTCATGTGCCAACACTATATTCAATGAATATGTAATATTTTTAATGGAGGTAGACGTTTTATAACATATTCTAACTTCTTCATAGTCTGCTCCTTTTCTTCAAAATAAATGCCAGAGTTAAATTACTGATTGTATCATTAACATTATTATTTAAAGCAACATTTTACTCATGTCACCAAGAATTTCGCCCCGTACCTTTATAAACAATGGACAATTTCCAAAAAAAATGTTCAATGTAGGTATGTATAAATTCTTGAGCTTTTATTTAAATTCAACGTAGTTATTGAGTGACGGGTATCCTGTTTTATGGCTCGTCGGCGGCTCAACAGTCGACGATTCTGCGAATCAGTGGATATTGTCGCAAATTGCCGCTTTCGCCACCCGCTGAATAATGCATGCGATAACATAACATCACGTCGCGCACCCGCCGCGCCGCCGCAGCGCACTCGCCGCCCGCCCCGCACCTCACAATTTCATCAAACTCGTTTCCCCTCGCATTCCGCCTAGCATTGCCACTACATTACATGTTATCTAATGCAAATTAAAGTTCCCTATGTGCGTGTTATCGTATCCTTACACAACCAGTGGAACTTTCAAATGTTCATACATTTCTTTGGAGCGACTTTCTATTCAGTCGCGACGGCTTTTCTTTAGAGGTTTCGGACTCGGAGGTTGTAACTGAATCTAGGTGTTATAGTGTTCACGTGCTATAGTGGAGTCAGTCTGAAAAGTTGAGACGTTGCCGGGTTCTAAAGCAGGCGGTGGCCGGTTGGTGTGGTGGTTACGCTGGCGGGCAGATATAGGCTGGTCGTCGTGTGGGGTGGCCCTGGCGGCGTTTCCCACAGCAGCGGCTCCTCGACCAGTTCGTCGGAATGTGGTCGCGGCACTGGCCCGCACTTTCACCAAAACAATTCGTTAGCGGCCTCTTTCGGCATCGCACCGCGCGCTTGCCTTTACCCCTCCACCCCGCTACCTGCCACCCCGCCACCCGCACACGTGAAAATTAACAACATACTGATACATGACGTCGTGATCAGTATTTTGAATACGGCCCTTTTGAAGTTCCGGCTCCCTAGCCACAATGTTTCACTTTATTAACAAACAGAACTTGTTAAGTACGTACTCAGAATCAAAAACCTGCCTTGACACACGCTGAGGTCGATATTTCAGCTGCTGAAAAGTGCTATTAACGGTTAGCAATAGGTATCTCTTAATGACTTCAGACGTAATATTCTGAAGATATCTTAACTAAATAACTTTTAAATTAAGACGTCTACGTCTTAGTAAAAGCTCTTTAATTAAGTGAAAGGGTAATTTTGTTGTTTTTCAGGACACTAATGTCACAGTATTGAAGTTTCGTTCTTTATCCTAATTTATTGGATTCATGATTTAAGTGGACATATAAGTATTATCAACACGATTGCATTAGCAAAAGCTATAAAAAGGTATTTATTCCTTCGAAGCGTACAAGAAACGTGACACGGCCACCTTGCAGCGCTAGTCGTTCAATGGGTGGAATTCTTTAGAGGTTGTCTTTACCCATAACTCGTGATAGATTTATTCATCTTACTGGTACTGTAAAGTGGCCTTAACGACCATGCTCTCGATACCGAAGGTGGCGGCTAACCGGAGATTTACGAAGATTCACGAAGAATGCATAAATTAAGTGAGGATTTTCAAGACGATCGCGTATTTTGTTATAAAATAACGCATCATAAGACCACCAGACTGGATCTAATATTCAAATAAGGGTTAAGAATATAGAAAAGATAATAAAACCAATCAAACAGCATCCAAAACGATTCGAGGGTAAAACATACGACCATTGTAATGCAAGTACCTCGTAAGTGATGCAAACATTAGCGTTGTCAGTTTAATTTTCAGATGGAATCATAAGTGCACACATGAATAAATTGCAATGAGGGTGTTAATATAATATCGTAAAATTTATTTTTTATACATAGTTAACTATAACAGTAAAAGTATTGTTCGAAGTCTTTAAGAAATGCATCGAAACTGCATAACAATCCGTTTTAGGTTGAGTAGTTGACATAGTCCGCTTCGCGCATCGCGGCCTTTCATTTCCTGTTGTCAAGTCAATCCAAACCGGACCCGCCCTAATGTTAGGGATGGTTCTAACTGGCTGCGCCTAGTTTGATACAGTTAGAACTAGGCTTCGGCTTTCAGCCGTGACATTTCACGTTGATTAGCGGAACGAACACTGTCAACTAAAGAACAAGAAAAAAATTGCAATTAAACTGTGCATGCTTTGTTTAAATTATAGTGTCAATTTCAACTACTAATTGAGTGTATTTACTATTGATTTAGCTCATAAGATTATAATCTTATCAATTAGTTCGTAATTATTAATGGGCATATGAAATCAAAACCACCACTTGTAATATCATAGGACCAACAACTATAAGACAGACATTAATCGTTTACAATTGTTAAGTTCGGTCCCTGAATCAAATCCAAAGACAAATGTTCGACTCCTGAATCTAAATACAAATTCGTCCGTATTTGACTCATGAGCCGACAAGTGTTGATGAGGGTATACCTTAATTCTATAATACATCTATTGTATCGCGCGTCCTTATCTTTATTTAATGTTTGTCTTAGGTACGGCCAGTTGTCCGGCATGGTGGAGCCCGTGTTTGGCGTGTTAGGTGCTGTCGCAGTGGCTGCTGCCCAACCAGCACTCCCCTACGCATTGGCCTTCGCCGCTGGTGCCATGATCTATGTCGTTGCCGATGACATTATCCCAGAAGCAAACGCATCGTGAGTATTACTTTCTTTATTAAATAGGTGGTAAACGAGCAGACCGACCGCTACACCCGACGAGTCACAAGTACATTGCCAGCCTTTAAAATGAGTACGCTCTTTACTTCTATTAATTATAATTTGTATCAGGTCTATATGTTTGAAATTGTTCTAAAGTATGTAAAATAAAAGAAAGAGAAAAAAAAAGTAGTGACGTTAGTTCAACACGTATCATGGTGCAGTGTAGATCATAAATGCTAATTTAAAAGAAACCTAACAACAACAAAACATAAGCTTTTACAATCCAGTTACGAATTGAACCAATCTTTACACCTTTATGATCCCCCACACAATTAAATTGACATCCAGACATCTTTCAAACTCAAATAAAAGATGTTTTCCCAGACTAGACTCTCTCAATTCTCGGTCGTACTGATTAGCACAGATAATGGGCTGTTGCGCACACACTACATAGCTCCCCTTGCGATGCCGACTTCAAAGACGTGTCCTTGAAACTGACCCAAAAACTTCCTGACTACGAATACCCCTTTGTTGTACACCCCTGTGAAGACTGCTCCCACCTTTGATGTTAAGGGATAATGTCACCTTTTATTACGCAAGTTGCTATTCACTTACTTAAATATTCAGATCAAGACCACTGATATCCTCCTAATGGATGATTACATTGTGTATGTAGATCATATATTCAAATGATACATTAAACATCAGGTTCTGCAAATTGTGTGAAATTTCTAGAGGAAAATCATACAAAAATTGTATGATTTTCCTCTAGAAATTTCCACTAACAGCTTCTGTTATTACGTAAAGGAGTCCGTGTTTTCCTCCTGTATTGTATTAAATATAAACTATCTATGGTTACTGTGAATCGGTACCAACAAAAGCTCTATCTGGAAAAGATGAATCAGACACGTGTTGGACAGGACGTAGAACGAATGTATATACAGTACACAGAAGTACATTAGGGACCGTTATATATCGGTATGAAACTATAGTATATCAAATCTCCGGGCTCTTGACATAATTGGACTGACGAGGGTCGTCTGTGTTTGATTGTTCTGATTCACGTCAGTATTTCGGCCGATATAGATTGTTAACCGTCAATATGTAGAGGTCCGTTGGGGTGAGAGCGAAGGACAAGCTTCCCCTTAGCGACAGTATTGTTGTCCGTCTGGAGTATTGTTACGGACCGGTTGCGACTCCTTTCCGGAGTAGCCTGTCTGTCGAGCCCGTTATCGGCTAATTGTTCCGTGTCCACCCAGCAATAGCAGCTTTGAAAGCGTGGTAACCGCTTACAACGATGTTTCTGAACGTTTCATCCAACCAGTTTGTGACTCGGAAGTTCCACAACAACAATTGTTTTTTTAGTAACAATACGCCACAGCTGTTGAATTGTTTACTTCTGCTATGGTGGGACAAATTGTCGCGACATTTGAATGACAGATACATCAATGGACTTTCGATAAACTCTGGTGTTTTAAATGAACACAAGCTGTTGTCGAGCGACTTATTGTGTCTGCTGTCTGGATGTCTGGACGTCTAGACGAACAATTTACCAATATAACTGTAAGATTCGTACAGGAATGATGAAAGGATATTTTCGTAGAAGCTTTCAACAGTTCTCACGACTTTCATCTGACTGTCAGTACGTGTGGGAACGTTTATCAAATATTAAATATGATTATTGTGTCTCCCTACATGTTTTGGCGTAGGTGTAAATAATATTGATTCATAATTGAAGCAATTCTCTTCTATTTAGAATATTTTTGTATGAATTCTAATTGTTATCTGTGGGACATTATAAGCTATTTGTACGTATCATGGCTGATGTAGGCAAGGCGAGATGAAAATACACAAACAGTACCTACATATCCCTGATGGTAAAACCTATAATCTGAATCCCAGTCATCCTTTGAAGAAACTGTATCAATCTTTGGTTTCATTTAATTTTGAATTATTCTAATTCAAAAGTTGAAGAAATCCAGTCACCAGAGTGCAATAGACGAAATTACCAATAACGGAAATAAATAATAAACAAGTGTGTACAGAGCGTGCGCGCACGCAGCACCTGACACTCCCTCGTGAAGCACGCGCGCGCATCTCTTAGCCTGATTAGCATTATCATAGAATATGACAACTGTTTGCTTTCCACGAGTGCTCTTCCATGCCTCTTATCGTCTGAGAATATTTTGACCAAATCATATTTATAGCACGTATACGACTTTTTATTGCCTCTTACTGGCTTTTACTTCCTCTATTATATTTTTACCGAAGAGCTTTTACATTGCTTAGAACTTGATTTTAATCTATTAGAAGAGATAGTACAGAGCTCTTACAACATTTCAAATGGTCATTTATGAATCGAAATGTTCCTAATGTTTATAAAAGCTTATGAAATTAATGATTGGAAGTGAATGTGCTAAAGAAGCCCGGAAAAGTAAAGAAAAGTGAGAAAAGCTTTTGAAGAGTCAACAGTTCTGAACAGTTTGCAGTGTATGCAATAATAGCAAGTGAGACAATAGCGTTTTGCATAGCGCGGCACGTGAAGTGTAGGCGCGCAGCGTCGGGCGTCGCGACGCAAATACCCAGCCCGAAATAGCGGCGCGCCGTCTAACACCCCGGACACGAACCCGTAGCGCGACAACATAGCCCGACGTTTATTACCTACCAACATGTCCCACTATTTGTTACTCCACATAATAAAATTAAATTACGACTTTAACGCCAGACGACCCAATTTTTCGTGATTCTAATTTGTTTTATGCATTTCAATGTAGATCGCTTCAGTTGCGAGATTTTTGCGCAGTGTTTAACATAGTAAGTGAGAATGTATCGAAAGAGTGGGCTTAACCATAAGTTACGATGTAATAAGTAGTCACAATACACGACATCACTTGTGCAGAAGGTAACTGTTAAGCACTACGTATGTATGTTTTCCGAAAAGAAAATGTCCTGAACTATGTGCAACGTAAGTTCATGCGCGTACAACTTCTTTACACATTAAAGGTCTGTCTCACATTGTCTGGTTAAGTTTGTGCTATCCTGACTGACACATACTTTGATACATTTTATGTAGGAAGTAATCAGTTAGACTGTAATTATTATTTTCCGAAACACGATTTGTAACGAATTGTTGGACAAGGCGCAACTCTGTACGATGACTATTGGTTGTATTTAAACAGGATATAAAAACTAGTCACTCACTGACATTCTTTATGTATTTTGACTTCATTAGGTATGAAGTATACTTTACTATTTTAGTTGTTTATGACTCAAGCTACCATCATCTTCGAAATGTCATGCTATTTCCTGAACACATTGTATATTGACTAAATTAGCACTCAAGTTGTGCTGTAAAGTTGGTCCGTTATACTGAAATGGCAAACAATAACCATTAAAGGGGTAAAAGCTAGATCCATTAAAGAAATATGAAGCACCACTTTTCATTGATCTCTAAGATATTGTATTTTTTTGTGCAGTTAAAAGTGCCCCATTCCTTTTTTATTGGTTTTACCTAATTCAACTACTGAAAGTCATCAAGATATATGTACTTGTCTTTTAGTCCACACTTCTAATTGAGTTCTATAAGAATTGAACTTGCTCATTTTTTCGTCTATACGTAATGTGGTGATGAGTATAGAGGTCGCCTGCGGTGGTGGTCGGCGCGGCTTGTCTATTTGCAGCGGGCGGCGGCGGGCGGGCGGCGCGCACGCAGGGCGGCGCGGCGCAGCCTCGCGTATTATGAAGTAAATTCGGTGCGCCGCGCCATGCGTGGGCTTGTCACCGTCTCGACACTGTCAATAACAATAAATATAAGAAATAACGCGTTTGTTGCTAGGATAAAGACGGTGACGACGCTCTAGTTTGTCTATGCGCTGACGTCACTGTCTGGGAATCCAGTGCGCCGCCGGCCGACACTCCCTGACCTACCTCCAGACATCGCGCCGCATATACCCCGTGCACCAGCATACCCCCTTATAAAGCATTTCTTGGACGCTGCCGGATCACCGCATAACTTGTTGGGGTTACATTTAACGAAAACATTGGAATTGAATGAAAGCATTAATTAGTAAACAAATATGTATATTAGATACAGTCGATTTCTTATATTAATGAATTCTTTAATTCATTCACCTTCTAAGTAGAGTAATAGTCTAGAATAGATTTGACGAAACATCTACATAATTATGTACTACATTTCTAAACGACTAAATTCGCGTTATACCTACATTCTATGTTTTATTTTGTACAGCAAATTACAAACGGCTGTAAGATTGAACTCGGAAAATGAGACGTTTCAGACGAGTTCAACAATGCTACCAATTAACTGAATTGCGTATTCAGACGTGCGTACAATCTCTAATTATTGAATAGTTAGATACATTCCGCTGATAAAACTCGATTAGTTTTCACGTCAGCTTCGAGTTTGTCTTGAAAATTCCTCAGTTTTTGGGCGTGATGTCAGCAGCGGTATTTAGGTGCATGTCGTGTCTCCAGTCGGGGTTCCCCACGGCACGTGACTAGAATATACGCCGACCTGTCATACTCGTTAACATGGAATACTCCAACGATTCACGTCGATATGAGCCGGATGTCTAAAGTATACTCCACCGCTTGAATTAGCTATACTTGGCCAATTCTCTTGCAACGTATTATCACATCGTATTCCCCATTGGGTAAGGATACGATTAGGAATAATGTCCGAAACTGGATTTACCCATCTTACCTAAACTGCTGTTTATATTCATACTCGGCATTAGGTCACCTACAAACATTGATAAACAGACGCTACCAGAATATTATGAATTAAAATGAATGGGCTGCGCAGGTGCATCAACAAACAACGCTCACTTGAATACGCCGCTAGATGTAGACATAAAAGAAATGATTGAATTACGTATACCTACCGAGTTACATCACGCACACTTGTTAAGTTTTGCATAAAGTACCTACCTCAGTTTCTTACTAAATCAATCTATTTCGATTGGGAAATTTGTATTCCGTGATACTTAAGAAACTTGTGAATATTAAAGTTGGACATGTATAACATTATTCGTTACTAGATTATTAACAAGGCGCGGTGGTAAAGTTTATAAAGAACAATCAGTTTACCAATAAAATTGTGTATGTACACAACGTGGTATGTACCTAAGTACTAGGAATCGTTTTAATGTAATGGCCTGTAATTCCAGTTAGTGTATTCCGGCCGGCAGGCTCAGTAAGCCGAGTGCGTGAGACGCAAGCGCCATCGGCGGTCTTTCCGATATCGTAATTTTGCTACCTATTTGATATTCAAATATCGTTTACTCGTTATTTCTCAATGGCCGGCATTGTATGACGACAGCATTTTATAACGGACCCCTATATGTTATTATGTACATACCATTATGTATATCACAGTCAAAGTGCGTCAGTAACGTATTACTGCCTCCTTAACACGAGACATACATTTTAATGTGTTTATGATGTGTCCGTTTACATTGTAATATAAGTTTCCGGCTGCCCGAAACAACACTAACGATCCTTCACGTTTTGGTAATCTCAAATCTAATAAAAGTAGGGATGCGTGTGTGGAAATTTTATCACCGATGACTAATTTTATCTGTTCATATTTTTAACCTATCTGCGTTTTGTGATACTAGGAACAATCTTCTATTTAAACTTCAGTCCTATGCTCTTGCAGTAACGTGAATATTGTGAAAATGACCTCAACTCTAATTGGTATATGTAATGATATAAATATACAACACGGCTAGTGCGGTGGCTGGGCAACCGGCTGCCACGCAAGGTGTCGCAGGTTCAATTCCCGCATGTAACAACACATTGTGTGATCCACAAATTGTTCTTCCTGGTTTGGGTATCATGTGTATGCGAACTTGGTATGTTTGTAAATGCACCCAGGACACAGGAGAAATTCCTAGTGTGGGGCAAAGTTTAAAAAATAATAATTAAAATTGGTGGTACTGATCACGTGAGATACTGATTAGTGGACAATTATTATCTACTCGGGGTTTTATGAAAATGTATGAAAATATATTGTTTTGTTCGCAGTGGTAACGGCAAGCTGGCGACGTGGGGCTGCATCATCGGCTTCGTAGTGATGATGTGCTTGGACGTGGGGCTCGGGTAAGTTCCACCCGCCGCCACTCACGCCGTGCCTTCACCGACTCACGCCGACTTATTGCTGACTAGTATTAACACTCTGAGATACCCCCTGTAAGTTAGATGTAGATATTTTTGTATAAATTCAAATGTGCTCATCACCGTCTCGATTTTGGATACATTAATGGCTTTTAATTTCCTACAATTTGACTGATGCTACTTACATTATATTCACAGAAAGTATATTATAATTTCAAAATATTCCATTCAATAAAATATTGTTTCGGAATCTGAATTCATCAATAATTTAATTGCATAATGAAGCGATCTCAACTTTTTAGGCGGTCATTAAAAGGTTAAGAATCCATCGCTCGAAATAGTTGCACGGCACACGAGTGTGTACGTGTCTCAAATTTTATACGTTTTCTATAAGTAATTGGTTGTATTCAGTTCTCTAATTGGCTCGCAACAGGTAGCCACGGCGGGCACACGCCGATGATACTTAATAATTTACTCTTTGTATACTGAAAGGAAAGTCTCCAAGCAAATGTTTTATTGATGTAAATGTCAATTGTATCCAAAATCATCATTTGTATACATCATTATACTGATTGTAAGTGAATTTCTAAGCTAGACTTACTGGCCACTGCAGAGCTTAGTAAAATGTTCTTAAGTTTAGTTATATCGAGTAATGTTTGCTAATGTGGATCATCGCGTTACTTGAGTTCGATCACTTCTAGATCAGACTAAGTCTCCATTGCATTGTCAAGTCGTATAATAGCATCAATTGTAATCCATGTAACTTGATGAAATAGGACGATAGTTGTTTACTATGCGAAGTTCCGCAGCCAAATTATTTATAATCTTGATGGTGGAATTCGTTGTAAATATGTAAAGTGTATGATAACTGAGGTGCGTAGTTGACGCGGTTCCATCCCGAAGCTAGCCAATTGAAACGAATTGTTTTATTCACATACGTGTCAAATGGCATTCGACTAATTATTTTCCAGCCGCAATATCTATATTGATCCACAGACAAAATTGTACTGAAAATTCGTAGTGTATTTCAGAAAAAAAAAATATTTCAGAAACAATCGTTTTCCTCAAAATTTATTTAGTACAAAAACTGTGTTTCTTTGTATATTGATATTTTAGAGGAAATTCTTTCTGAATTTAAAATATGTATTGGGTTATAACACATTGCGAATGACAATGTGAATGTTAGCAGCTCCAGGAATTGTAGTATGAACGTCAGCTTTACCCCACAACTGGTGGTCAAATATTGTAATCCCTAAAATGATATTAATCTTTTATACATAAAAAGTATTGTCTTTAAGATGTATCTGTAAGATATTTGTGGTATTCTGGTAACTTTGGTTAGTGTAAATTTTATTGCGTAGTTACGAATTCCACCTGTTCCTGTACTCTGGATGTTGTTGTCGCCGTATTTATTAGTTTATTATTTTCCTTTTAGTGAGATTTCACTCCGACATCAACGTTCAGGAGTATTCTATTGATTTTAAGCCGACATTTTAAGGCCTGTGCTTGTCAGTCGCAAGCGCAGTACGCGGAGCCATACATATGCATGTTCCCAGTTAAGTCAATTAAATCAATGATTTCACTGTTCAAAATAACTGTGACAGACCTTTCTACTGTTCACAGAACTCAATAATTACTTTTCAACCATGTCTATGTGTCTTTCTTCGAAAGTTGCATTCTTGATGTTCTATACCTCTACGCACCTTGTTAGACAATTAAGTACTAGAAATTTGCGTGAACAAACACAGACCTTATTCTTATATTTAACTAGAATAAAATTTAAAAGACAATATGAACATTTTATAAGGAATCAAATAGCCTTAGTATTTGAAAACATTTATGAATCATAGTAATCGTTGTTAAGTGATGTGAGCTTCTGGGATTTACATGTAGAACTATATCCGTGTACTTTTGCATGTTATTTGTGCTGTTCTAGCATATTTCTAAATAAAAAAAATAATTGCTCAGTACAAAAATAATTTATTCATAAAATCCCTTCTCAAATTCTCAAAAGTTCACATCACTCGGTACATACTTAGAATATCCATTAAAATATCCAAAAAATGCTATTGTAAAATTATGTTTATTTTATGAAATAATATAATATTTATTTAAGCGAATTTATTTTTACACGCTTCCAAAGTTTATGTAGTTGTAATGAGAGTTCAAAGTGTTTATTTTGCATTTATTCATCTAACTTGTTTGAGTTACCTGTCACAATAGCACAATTTTAGTTCAGACTACATTGTTACTTAAGATTACTTTCATTGTTTTTATATTATACAAAATGCAGTGTCCGTTTGTGGTATTATTTGAACACTTCATTCCCTTGTGCAACCTCTTTTTAACTCGATTCTGTTGAATGTCAGAACTTAATATAAAGCTGGTTTGTCCTTCTCCACCCTATTAGAATAACAGAATCTCCTCAATCTTGGTATATTCCATGTATGAAATCCAGTATGTATTAACAACAACGCTTATGTATGGTAGTGAATCATGGGTGTAGCAGAAGAAGCATGAAAGCAGACCTGAAGAGTTTGTGTGGAGTAAAATTACGTGATCGAGTGAAAAATAGAGTTATTAGGGAAAGGTGTGGATTGAAAGGTGATGTAGTGACAAGGATTGAAAAGGGAATGTAACGCTGGTTTGGACATGTAGAAAGGATGGCTGAAAGTAGAGTAACGAAAGAAGTATACAGAGCGGATATGAATGGGGCCGTCAGTAGAGGGCGCCTTAGACGACAATAGTGACCAACTTGACGATATATTATGTAAAGAAGGGCTAAATTAAAAGTACCCTTAACCGACGAGCATGCATGGAAAAATTGATGACTGTTGATGAAGCGAAAGAGGTATGTAGGAATCGTAGTAATTGGCGTTCCATAGTCTCTACCTACACCCATGGGAGACAAACGTGAAGTTGTGTATGAAATCCTCTTCCAATCTTGGTATAAAAAGGTGCGAGCACGTTGCAAACACTGGATAAACCTTACAGACAACACTAAAAAGTGTTTGACGATACAGAAATATCATTTCAAAATATTACTCTAGATAATAAGACGCCGTACTCGGTATTTAGTCATACGTACAAACAGTTCCCACATCCATCTCCTTAGTTTAAAAATACTCCATTACTATCCGACCGCCGCGTGTACCAACGGAATGTGATTTTACCTCGTAACAAAAGTTTTCCTTATCGAGTGTATTTAAATGGAACGGGACCGATAAACGGGGCCCGGCTGGGTCGTTAATAAACCTGGTCGTAGATATGTAGCTGCGACACCACTTCCTCTTGTGTGTAGTGTCATATGTCACCAACGAGTTCAATTTTTAACAATCTTCGTTTATAGACACTAATTCTGCCACAATAAGGCTCAGATTGCAATCGTGATAAGATTTCGAACATGACTTTATGGCAAGATTACTTTGGTAAGGTCCCCCTTGAAAACAAGACAAGACAAGAAGATTATCTTCTTGTCTGTATCCAGAAGGGTTACAAGCTGGGTGTCTTCTAGTCTGCAGTGAATAGGTTGCTTATTCACAAGCGAGCTATATCGTCAGCTCCATCATCATCGTGAGATAGTGGCCAAATGCTAATCTGTAATTGGTTCACAACATCACCAGCAGTATCGGAAAAATGTTCATTCTAATACATAGTCAAGTGCTCTTTAGTTATAATGCCGCCAAGTTAAGTAAATCTGAAAATATTTCATACGCAGTGGATAGGACAGTCTAAAAATGAATCGTCCAAATCTGTCGACGGAACTAGTCTGTGATCACCAACAGTCAAGTTTTAATTTTATGAAAACAAGCATTACTGACTAGAACAATCGAAAAAAAAGGAAGTATGGAATACATACATATAGGTACAAATTGATATCAGATTAAGTTTGTGCGGATTTTTCTTACTACCTACGGAACTTAAAAACGATAGCACACAAAATACAGATAGATTATGTAGTTAGTCTATAAATAACACATATAAGTTACATTTTATCCTGGTAAAACGGAAGAAGCCACTGACAGACGCTATAAGTATAATCTTTTCTACAGTAAAGAACGTAAGTACTGCCTACGATAAATAGAAGTATCTATACTACTTATTGTATGAAGTATGAAAAGATCACCTTCCTAAACCATTGACTGCACCTCGTCTTATCTAACACAGTGATGCTGCGAAACATCACACAACTGAAATTAGGTAAGTAACATTTCGCAGGCACCTACAACCACAACACCAAGATTCGCCTTTCTCTGAAGAACTTTAGACAAAAGGAATTTGCCCGTCATTACAGCAGTTACGTAAACGCCTTTCGATACCAGCGCCTAATTAAACCGAATTTTAAGATCCTCCTTTAGCGTTCTGATGCCTTAGTACTGCAGATATCTATATATATAAAATTCAAAGGTGATTGACTGACTGACTGACTGACATAGTGATCTATCAACGCACAGCCCAAACCGCTGGACAGATTGGGCTAAAATTTGGCATACAGATAGATGTTATGACGTAGGCATCCGCTAAGAAAGGATTTTGATAACTTCCACCCCCAAGGGGGTAAAAAAGGGGATGAAAGTTTGAATGAAACTTTGTCAGTTTTTAACTGATCGGGTTGAAATTTGGCATGCAGATAGATGTTATGACGTAAGCATCCGCTGTGAAAGGATTTTGATAATTTCCACCCCCAAGGGGGTAAAATAGGGGATGAAAGTTTGTATGAGACTTTGTCAGTTTTAAACCGATCGGGTTGTAATTTGGCATGCAGATAGATGTTATGACGTAAGCATCCGATGTGAAAGGATTTTGATAATTTCCACCCCCAATGGGGGTAAAATAGGGGATGAAAGTTTGTATGAGACTTTGTCAGTTTTAAACCGATCGGGTTGAAATTTGGCATGCAGATAGATGTTATGACGTAAGCATCCGTTTTGAAAGGATTTTGATAATTTCCACCCCCAAGGGGGTAAAATAGGGGATGAAAGTTTGTAT